ACTTTTGATAATCAGAATTGTAATAATTGTAACACTGTCATGCCATCTGGTCCCAAGAAGCGATAACATACTCTTCAGACTTATTTCTTAACAATGGAATGACTTGTTTTATGTTGCATAATTTTTGCCTTGTATTTGCTTGTTTAAAGCTGTAAAGCGGATCTCATAATATTAGTGGCGTATCGAGCTTTTAAAAAAAATAATGCATTTTTAAATCAAAGCGGACGTCTCAACAGTTTTAGCCCATCCTTAACCACTTAAAAACGAGCCAATCTGTTAGGGTGAACAGGTGATGAAAGGGATTTCAATCCCAGCTTTTTAAAATAGATGATATTTCTGGAAAATCAAATCTGGTGCGCCACCGCGTGGCGCGCTTTTGAATTCCTTCGAGTTTTCCCAGCAAGTGGCTAAAAATGTATAAAAATGCGCTCGTATCTCATGTTTTTTATTGGTATTTTCGGTTTTACCGTTCACGTTACAATGTTCTCAGCTTTTTTTCCCGACGATGGCTTAGATTTTATTTGAGAGCCATTTTCACGAAATTTTTGCCAACTGATTTCAGGTCGATTGAGTGCCTTTTTGCTATACAATGGGCGACAACAAACAAGTATGTTCTTTTATCTGCAAATTTTTCATAGTTAGAACACAATAATTTCATTTTCGTTTCGAAGTGTCATGGTTTTGAATAGTGTCATGTGTGTTACGCATAGATCGCTTTGTTTTCATGTGCATTTTCAGGGTTTCTTGAAGTAACGCAAGATTTTTTCACGAAGAAACCATGTTGATTTGTGCGTGACTGAGTTTGTCTGCACATCCGCCTAGTCGATTCAACTCTGAAATTAGTTTCTCTTGCCTGGTGAATTTTAAGATTTGTGGCTTCTTCATGTATAACGTGGCCAGTTGGGAAAAGTAGCTTTATTGAAGTAGAGCTGAAACCTAGTTATGGTTGAGAGGTGAGAAGGACGACCGTAGTAGTGGATGCAAATTGGATAAGGTAACCGAACTGGCGATTTTGGCGAACAGTAATGGCTGCATCAGGAGCAGAAATACTGTGATGTTTTAAATGCATATCCAGGCAGCGGTATTCCTCCAGAGCGCCGGCTTTTTTTATACCTGCATGCTGTGATGCTGTAAGTTTTTATTAAAGAAAAGATGGTGTGTCTTTGCAGAATGAGTCAGCACCACCGGCAGCTGAAGAAGAGGAGGTCGTGGACCCGCTGACGAGGTTCCGTGAAGAATGTGTGGACCATACGGGGAAATGGAAACGACTGCTCGATGAATGTACAGAGCGTGTGAATTCAAAAATTAAGACAAAGGAAACGTGCCACGACGAAATGGTCGATTATATACAAGCACTGGACCATTGTGTAAGCGAACTTTTCGCTCAGATTCTATATTTCTGTAAGTACGGTAGCTTGATTTTACTTGCTAGGATGTGGCGAGTGAAATAGAACCACCATACATCGACATCCTGCTCTTATGTATTGGATTTGGCACGCTTGGAGGTTTTACCAACAATTTTTCGTAATTTCTTTGTAAGCAAAGCCAAACTTGAAAGTGATGTTTCCTTGGATTTTGGGCGACTTCTAGCAAGGGCATAAATACGGTGAACAAAATTTGCGCGGCACTTGCACTTACTGATCATTCCGTTTTTTTTTCAGGCAATGCCGAAAACATTTGCGACGCTAAAGTAATTCTGAAATGCATCGTCGGTTC